AATCTTATGAACTGGCCTCGGAATGATGAGGGCTTACGGTTCGGCTTAATGATAGTGAGGCGAGGAATAAACATCTCGCGAATCCAGGAATGAGCATCTGGTGAAGTGGGGAACAAACATCCCTTGAATAGTCGAACTAACGGAGTCGTATAAACTGGCCTCGGAATGAAGAGGGCTTACAGTTCGGCTCAACGATAGTGAGAAGCAAGGGATAAACATCTCGCGAAGCCAGGAACGAGCATCTGGCGATTTGCCTCTTCCTTTTTCAAGGAACAAGGACTTCATGATATATCGCGTCTTATAATAAGAAACTCAAGAGATTAGGTTAACATCCGGTAGTGCGAGGTCTTACAAGCTGGCCTTGACTGTACAAGGTCTTAGAGCTTGCCTCAAGTAATAGAAGTGATCATAAAAATGGCTTTGAATAAGAGAAATCCGAGCTAAGCAATTTATCGAATACTTAGCATGCATTGCAAAAATAATTTCTTTGGCACAAATGAATTTTGTAGTTTATCCACGTAATCATGAAGAATTAAAATGGCAAATTTCACGTACTTTCACAATTCGTTATCTTGGATATTAATTTAATTTATACACAAATCAAATAGTATATTTATTGTAAAATTAGCATGTAAATAAAAGAATTTTGCCACCTTAAACTCAAAATTTTGCCATTATCCATCTTCTTCAACATTGAAGCTCCAGTAGCAATAAACAAATAGTTCACTGTGCAAAAATAATTTCACAAATCCAATGGATAAATAAATGGGATTTCATGAACTTGGAAAGGAAATAGCCTAAGCAAAACAAATAGAAGGAAGGCTGGCTAATGGACATGAACTTGGAAGTTTTCTTTCACTGCGACTCCTTCCTACTTATTTCTACTTCTAAAATTAAGTATTTCATCCCTTCTTCCACGTGATTTGAAATAAAATGGCAGCCCAAATGGAAGCGGCTTCCATTCCGAAGGGTAAATGGCTGCTTGGACCAAAGAAATAATTAAGTGGCCCAAGGGAAATAAATAGTTGGGGCCCGATTTTGAATAAAAATTGGACCAGCCTTGATTGAAGCCCATTGACTCATTTTACCCAATATTGGCCTCATAGAAAGTCCACAATATCCACAG